CCCTAGTTTACTTGTGACTAACCGGTTTTCCTAAATCTCTCATATTTTAATTGAAACCCTAATTTTAATTACTGGAATTGGAAAATTCCTCACGTTTTCTTAAAAATTTCCTTTTATTTGAAAATTATTATTTATTAAAGCTCTACTATCCAATTGTTCAACTATAAGAGTAAATAAACCTAGAAAATAAGGTTTTACACTTCGGTTTCAAGATTTGAGCAAAATTAGGGTTTTGTGATTTTTTCCGCCGGATGAATTTTCGGTACTGGCCAAGGATCAATTTGATGATTAAAAGTGACTTTTAAGTGAGAAATAATATGTGAGTAGTAGCAATGAGGTAAGGTTAGTGAATGGAAAGTAAAAACTCTAGTACGGGTGTTTTTAAGAAAAACGGCGCGAACCGGCGGGTCCCGCGCATTACCGATTGAACGCACCGCTTGACCACCATTTTTGCTTACCAAACAAATTTATTGAACTTGAACAAAATATCTTCCCCCTCATGATTATAGCTTGACCGAAATTGTGGCTCAAATACAAGGAAAGAAAGAGAAAAATTTTGTGGACAAGAATAGGCCAAGTGTTGGCCAAAAATTGTGGACACAATTACCCTTAACCTCTTACTTCCATATAAGACAAACCAAGCCTCATCTTCCTCCATATTTCTGCATAAGAACCGAGAGAGAGAGAGGGGAGGAACAACAAGAAGAAAAAAAAAAACTCCTTCATTTCATCTTCAATCCAACAACTTAGGGAGAAATCAAACAAAATAAACCGATTAAACTTGTTCTTGAGTGACTAGCTAGTGAGTTGTGGTGTGATTCTTGAAGGGGAGAGCTTGTGCTACTCTTGGTGACTTTTATTCAAGGTAAGAGAGTTTATCTCTCCAAGTTTTACTTCTAATCTTGTTATATTAAGCCTAGTAACTTGATTTTAGGGTGAGATTATGGATGATGAGCATGTTTTAGTAGTTTTCCCCAATTTATTTGATGAACTAGGGTTCCTGATTTTCTGCTCAAGTTGATGTATGATGCATGAATGTTGCAATTAAAGTTATATAAGGTTGTTTAGTGGTGATTGGAACCAGAAATTTGAGGAAACTACACTTAGAGCTAAAAATTCCAGATTTCTGGAAAATTTCCCAAGCATTCTGTCCGAATTGTATCTGTATGTTAGAGGCCGAATTGGCCTTTGGTCAAAGAAGGAAAGTTGTAGAGAATGGTGTTTTATAGGTGCCTACAAAATTTCAGCTCAATCGGAGCAACGCAGAACGTGAAAAGTCCAAATTACCCCTACTGCTTTAAGAATTTCCCAGTAGTCCGTTTCTTCAGTTCAGTCCAGTTTATCACGATTTTTGACCAGGATCCATTCTGATTTAGCTCTGGACCAAAACATGAAAGTTGTAGTGCTCTGAAGTAGCTTTAAAATACCTCTAAGAACACCTGATTCGGACTTGTGTACACTGAGTTATGTCCATTACAGTGTTCTGCATTTAAACAGCCGGTGAATTGATTTCTGGTTTGGTAATTGGAGAATTTGACCAATTTACATTAGAAACTGGACTAAGTGACCTTCATGAACATTGTAGCTCTGTGTCTTAGCTTCGAAACGGCATAGGTTACGCCTCAATCCGATAAGCGTAGCCTCAGATATGTTATTTCCGCATTTGTACGTCAAATCTGTTTTATGCCACATTGAACTTCTGTACTTGCTACTGTTGTGAATCTTATTATTATGATATTGTGAGCCTATGGAACGGCTCTTGACATGAATGGCTGAGATGTATAATGTTGGGTTGTGTTTGAGAAAAACAATGAAGCCTAAAAGGCTGGAAAATTAGGTAAACACTAAGGGCATGCTGCCCAAATTTACGCTCGAAAACTAGAGAACTACTTGCAACTTGAGTAAGGGTTAAGAGTGATTACTGCTTGAACCATCTAGGGTACTTGAGTATTCTTGTTCCGAGGTATATAAGGAAGGACTTGGCCGAGCTTGTACCCTTGAGAAATGAAATAATGACTATTTGGAATATGTTTCTCTTGTACTTTCGACTCGCATGGCATTTTCAAGTATAAATGTTACAAAGTTTTACCGTTTAAAAAAAGTGAGCAAGTGTTTTACGACTACTATCCGAGTGAATTTCAAATTCTTGATTTTATTGAACGAAACGTCTAAGTTTCGAACTCTAGTCATGTTTCAAAGTTCTCAAACTGAGTTTTATCGCAGATTTGGACTCCGAACTCAGAATATAACCTGAAAGTGACCAGTAAAGGCACTATATCTTTTGGTGAGTGCTTTCAAATACTGAATTGAACTTGATACTTGTACTTGATACGTGCCAATATGATTACATGCCACATGCGTGAATTGTTAGGGCAAGAGTGTACTTTATCGCACTTGCCCTTACGTGATATACTTGTTTATTGTTGCAATTGACTTGATATACTTGTTTATGATGCGCGCACTTCCTGGAATTCCAGAAACCCTGTGGTGAGTTACTCTAGTCGAGCCGGCAAGGGCTTGGTCGATTGGGTAACGAACCCTGGGTCTCTTGTATTGTCGAGTGGAGTGATATCTCCTCGACTAATCGGTATACTCGAGTATTACCACCCGTGTTCTTGAGGATTTTGGGCCCAGCTGGGGGTTGAACGGTGGACGGAGAGTCGTTTAAGTGGTGTTCTACTGGATCGGTTTCTTTACTTGAAAGTTGACGGAGTGTCAACTACTACGTGATCAAGCTCCTGATGATGAATGGAAGTTGGCTCCTGAGAGCTATCCGTATCCTTATGCTTGAAATGATTATTGTTCATTGGATGATTGTTTCTTATGAAAATTTTTATACTCGCTCATTTTGAGATTGCTACTTGAAGTGTTATTGCTCACTTTTATGAACTCTTCATGCTCGTTACCTTGCTAAATCGAAAACTTGTATTTATAAATAATGGTCAATTTGCTATTTGGAACCTCACTGGGCTTTTAGCTCATACCACGTTATTTGTTCTCCTTACAGGGGGTACGAGCGAGGCATAAGAGATGTAAAGGCTAGCGTAGTCTAGTTACTTTAGACTGTGTTTTGAATTTTGGTTTTGTACTCGCGCTATTCCTCGAATGGAACATTTGTACTTGGATTGTATATATTTTGAACTAGTTTAAGTATATCAAGACTTTGTACTTTGGTTTCTATCAATGTAAATTATAAGCTGGGATTGCGGATATTATTAATGGTGCTTGGGGTGTGTGCACATGATTTTAGTGAGTGAGTCCTGGCGAGAGCTGGGCAGGCGGTCCGCCAAACCCTCTGGTACGCCATAGGGGGAGGTGGGGTCGTCACAAAAGAAGGAGGGTGGTTCTTCACAACTTACCTTTAAAACAAGAGAGAAAGAGCTATGGGTCACCTTAACCTTCCAAATAACTTCACACAACAACTCACCACCACTACTTGAAGGTGTTTTATGGAGAAAAATCAAGGTTGGATGGTTGGTTTTGATGATTGAAGCAAGATTGAAGCCAAAACTTGAAGAGGTTTTCTTTCTTCCTTTGAGAGAGAGGGCCGGCACTTGAGAGGGGAAAATGGTGCAATTTTTGGTTAATTTTGTGATTTATTTGGTCAATGGTAAGACATGGAATAGTAGTCTTAAAGGTAACCCAATCAAATGGTGACACTTGTCACCCAATTTAATGCAAGTCTATCACTTTGTTCCCTCTCACATCAATCCAAATAGCTTCCTCTAATTATCTCTTAACACCCGATAAAATAATTCCAGTATCCAAAACTTAATCTAGTTGGCCGAATTTTTCCGGACTTTTCGCACTAGTGGGTCCCACGTCCGGTATCTGCTCTTAATTTCTCAAAATCTATTCGATACTAGAAAAATCATTTAAAAATTATATCTGCTCCTTAAATTTATCTAGAAAAATTTTCTAATCACGAAAATGCAGAAAACAAGTCATGAAAAATAATAAAACTTAGAAAAATGAAAATTACGGGTTCTCACATGTCCACCATGAGTGAGAATGCTCGGTCTTCGAATAGCGAGTACTAACTCTCCAATTTGGAAAGAGCGAGGTCGAACGTGCTTATCAAATGCTTTTGAAAGGCGAGCTTGATAGCACTCAATCCGTTGTTGATTTTTGAATCTCTTTTCGTCGAGTACTTCTAACTCCTCAAGGCGAAGACGAACATTATCTTCTTTATTGAACTCTTCTTGAATCGCAATTCTTAGCGAAGGTATTTGACACTTATATGGAAGAACAGCTTCAACACCGTAAACAAGCGCGTATGGGGTTGCTTGCGTGAGAGTTTGAAAAGTAGTTCTGTATGCCCAAAGCGCTTCTCCAATTCAAAGATGCCAATCCCTTTTTGATTTATCCACGATTTTCTTCGACAGATTACATAATGTCTTGTTGAATGCTTCAGCGAGTCCATTTGCAGCAGCGTAATACATGGAAGAGTTGTATTGTTTGAAATGAAACTTTTCGCAAAGTTTATTCATTTCTATATTGCAAAAAGATTTACCATTACTAGTGATGATATAACGTGGGACTCCATACTGATAAATGATGTGCAAACGAATGAAATCTACTACATTATCCTTTTTGACCTCTCTTAGAAGAATTGATTCAACCCACTTTGACAAGTAATCTGTCGTTGCCAAAATCAAAATGTGTTCGTCAGAAGATTTTGAAAGTGGTCCAACTATATTCAAACCCCAAACATCGAATGACCAAGAAGCCATAGTTGGGTGCAATGGTTCAGGAGGTTGATGGATGAAATTGTCATGGAATTGACAAGTTTGACATCTTCTAGCAAAATCGATGCAGTCCTTCACCATCGTTGACCAGTAGTATCCCATTATCTTCAAGCGAAAGTGTAATTTCTGACCAGATTGATGAGCACCACATATCTCAAAATGAATCTCCTCCATTGCTTGCATGGCCTCATCTTCTCCAAGACACCGTAAAAACATTCCATCAAATGATCTTCGGTAAAGCATCCCTTTGTATTAAATGAAACGTAGCGCTCGACGACGTATATCAACCCTTTTCTTGGGATCTTCCGGTAACTTTCTATGATTACGGTAATTAATGATGAGATGACGCCAATCCTCCTTTTCAATCTCATGGACAAAAATATGATACGCATTTTCTTCTTCACCATTATATTGTTCATCGAATATCAGAGGTATGATCCAATTTTGACATATTGAAATTTGATTTCGATGAGAAGGTAGAGTGATCATGGATGCCAACCTTGCCAAAGAGTCAGCTTGTTGGTTAAATTTTCTCCGGGTATGTTCTATGGTGACATTGTCTAAATATCCTATGAGTTGTCTTGCATACTTATAATATGGGATCAATTCAGGTTTCTTGACATCATAAATACCCAGAAGTTGATTTACCACTAATTTGGAATCACCATAGACCATAACGTGCAACTGCTTCATGTCTGCAGCGGTTTCAAGAACGAGAATTAAAACCTGATATTCGGCCATATTATTTGAACACCGATGTGTCAAAGTAAAAGAGTACTGTAATATGTCTGCTTGAGGGGTATAAAAGACGACTCCCGCGCCAGCTCCATCACGATGAGCAGCTCCATAGAAATACATCGACCATGGAGATTCAATCATAAATACTTCTTCATCGGGGAGTTTATCAATCAACTCTCACTCGGCAGGCATGGGATGATCAATTAGAAAGTTCGTCAATATTTGTCCTTTGACGGCCTTCGCAGGTATATAAATAATTTTGACTTGTTGAAACTGAAGGTATCATCTCGTAAGTCGGTCAGACAGTATAGGTTTTGCCATGACATATTTAATGGGATTGGACTTGGATATGAATCGGACAGTGTGTACTTGAAAATAATGTTTCAACTTCTGAATGGCAAATATAAGTGCCAAACACAACTTCTCGATGGGTGAGTAATTCAACTCATCAGATGTCATCATCCGAATCAAATAAGATAGTGCATTCTCCTTGCCTTCATCATTTTCTTGAGCAAGTAAGGCCTCGACCGACCATTATTGAGCGAAAATATAGAGGATCAATGATTTTCCTAGAATTGGTGCAGCTAACACAGGGGGATTCATGAGGTACATTTTAATGCTTGTAAAAACATTTCTACATGATTTATCCCCACTCGAAGGGTCCCCCTTTTTTTCATCAGTCGACTGAAGGGTTGGCATCGTCCGGCCAAATTAGAGATAAACCCTCGGATGTAAGCCAATTTTCCTTAAAGGCTCTTCAATTCATGGATATTTTGCGGTTCAAGAATGTTCACAACGACATCAATTTTAGATCGGTCGACCTCTATTCCCCATTGATGAACGATGAAACCAAGAAACTTGCTAGAAGTGACTCCGAATGTGCACTTCAAAGGATCCATTTTTAGTTGGTAACTCCGAAGGCGTTGAAAAACTTTTCGAAATTCTTGAATATGGTTTTCTCGCTTCTTTGATTTCACCACAAGATCGTCAACGTAGCACTCCACATTTCTATAGAGCATATCATCAAAAATTTTTTGCATTGCCCTTTGATATGTCGCTCCATCATTTTTCAAGCCAAACGGCATCACTTTATAGCAATAAATTCCCTTGGGAGTGCGAAAGACAGTGAGCTTCTCCTCTTCGGCTGCCATGCGTATTTGATTGTAGCCAGACGATCCATCGAGAAAAGATAGTGCTTCATGCCCTATTGTAGCATCTACTATTAATTCTATGATGGGGAGTGAAAAATCATCTTTGGGGCAAGCCTCATTTAAGTCTCGAAAATCAACACAAATTCGGATTTGCCCATTCTTCTTCCTTACAGGGACGATACTTGAAATCCATGTTAGGTATTTTACTTCTCGTATGAATCCAGTCTCAATCAATTTATTTATCTCATTTTCTATCAAAGGAATCAATTCGGGTCGAAAAGCATCTTTGAGTTTGCTTGACAGGTTTTGTTCCTCGCTTAACAGACAAATTATGAATGGCGACCCTTGGATCCAAACCAGGTATTTCTGAGTAATTCCAGACAAAGATATCTTTGAATTCGAGCAGCAAATCAACATACTCTTTCTCTTCTTCAGAAGTCATACAAGAACTTATATAAATTGGGCAAGGGTCATCACTTGTGCCAAGGTTAATTTTTTTTAACACATCGATTGTATTTTTTACTCCTTGTTCAAATTAAAAAGGAACGTCATCCACATCTTCTTTTTTTTTCTTCAGAATCACTAATCGTAATATGATGGTAAGAAACAATACTTTCATGACCCTGTTCTTCAAAAATAGTTTCGATTTTTACGTTAAACAAGTTTCCATAATGCATAAAGAAATTGGAAACTCGTTTTTTCGGACCATCCTTCTTTATTGGAGTAAAATTTTCTTCCATTACAACTTGGTACTCTTGTTTTTTGCTACCTAATCTCTCATAGATGGGCGGTTTCAAATTTTTCGATTGTGGGCCAAGTCTGTCAAATACAGAAGTACGCTTTGACTTATTTCCCAATCTATTGAAAACAGACCTCTTTTGACTTGTGACCTCCACTTATTCGTTCACGTAATTACAACTTGCTCTTTTGATCATTATACGAACAGGAGAAGGCGGTTGGTAACCAAGACCCATTGATTAACTTTCGACGTTATAACCCTTTTCTTTCAACATTTTCTGTGTAGATGTCAATATATAAGTATTTTCACCAGTTGCTTCAGGAGGGAGCCTGCCCAATGCATTCTTCTTATTTAGGTTATAGCTCACCTTAGCAAGAAGCCTATATGCGTTTGGATCAAAATCTTCTTGGGTCCAATAGGTTGGTAATGAGTAATGTTCCACTGCGGGTCCTTCTTTAGGATGGACAAATCCTTGCAAGTTCACTTTCTCACTTTTAATAGGCTCTATTTTGGTGAGCGGGACATTTAATGCTTCATTTCTGATAAAAGAAAACTGATCTTCTTCTCTATTTGATTTTGGAATATAATGCAAAATGGGTACTTTAGAATCTTGATTTTCTTCCCTTACTGATTCTTTTTTTTTTACTTCTTTTTGAAGATAAAATTTGGCATCGGCAAAGTGAGTCCCGGCTTCAATGAAAGGTTTATCATTGGCAGTAACTTTCTTAACTATACCGTCTCGACAATATTTGAAACATTGATAAAGAGTAGACAGTATAATTTCATTCTCATGAATCCAGAGTCTTTCAAAGAGCATGTTATAAGAGGTTTTGACGTCAATAATATGAAATAACGCACTTGAATACAACTCACCAATGAGCAATTCAAGCTTTATGAGACCAATTGCTCTTTGCCCCCCTTAGTTAAATCCGTGAATCATGAGGCGGTTCTGGGAGAGATCATCGCTTGAGATTCCCAATTCTTTCATAGTGCGTACAGACATGATATTGATAGCAGATCTCCCATCAATGAGTATTCGATTCATCTTCTATTCTCGAACATTTGCACTAACAAACAAAGGTCGATTCTGGGTTTTGAAATCAACTGTTAAATCGTTATCATAAAAATTGATAGTCGTTGCACAATCCACCAGTGATTTATCATCAATTTTGAGTTTTTTCTCAAATTCAATGCTAGTTTGTGCGACTTGAGGATTTTCAGCCTTGATGACATGACAAGAAGTAGAATTATCATCATCATCACTTAAATATCCCTTGGGCATAAATTCTTTCAGTGTCACAGATTGTCAAACCTCTAGAAGGAGCGGATGATTTGAAGAGACTGGTGTTACGGCCACTCCTTTTTGTTTCTTTATTGCATTTCATTGTTTCATTGTCACTTTAGTTTTTGTTGAACGAATGCTTTTCGAAAAGATATACTTCTTTATCTTTGGCTTGCAAGTCCCCTTTCGAGTAATTAAAGTTCATCCTTTATTGTCATCTTCAATAACGTCTTCAATTGAAGATTTTTCAAGTTCCCTTTTTACAAATAAAGCACTGCTTGACGTGAATAGAACTTCTATCGGACAACACACAGATCCAAACATTATTGTTGTTCGGTTTGCCGATACTTTATCCTCCTCGAGAAGGATTTTTCCTTGACGAGCTAATTTCACAATTTTGTCTTTAAAGACAAAACATTTAGTGAGAGAGTGGCCAATCAGGCGATGATAACAGCAATAATTTGGATCATTGACTTGACCGGCTTCCTCTAAGCGTTTCATTTCGAGAAGTTCAAGGAGTTTCTCCTTGAAAAGATCATCAAACATCCCCTGTAAATCAGACTCAAGGAATGGGTATTCCTTTTCTTACATGTCTTTTAAAGTGAGTCTTCTTATCGACTTGTTTTGGGAGGAGTCTAACTTTTCGATGACCTTTCGGCTCACCTTAGTAGCAATCTTCACGGGAGCTGTGTTTATTGCCATAGACTCTTTATTACTAAGTCTTGAAGGAAGTTTGTGCCCTTTTTTATTTTCTTGTCTTTCATTGCTTTGATGAGATGGTTGCACTCGCGGAACTTGAATAGGAAGTCCATCAGTTGCATTGGCCGTGATGCTTAATTTCATATCATAAGTACGAGTAGCTAATTCTTCAAATTTGTTTGGACGTATGCCTTGTAGAATGTAACTTAAGCTCGAATGCATTTCTCGAATGCATATTTCTATGACAGAGGGTTCAGATAGTCTATCTTTGCAATTAAGATTCAGACTTCTCCACCTATCGATGTAGTTGACCATAGGTTCATCCTTCCATTGGCGAGTGTTAGTCAATTCCAACATACTAACAGTTCTTCTAGTGCTATACAAGTGATTCAAGAATTCTTGCTCTAGCTGTTACCAACTGTTGATGGACTCCAGTGTGAGATTAGTGTACTAATCAAATGCGTTACCCTTTAAGGATCGAACAAACTGTTTGACTAGCAGGTCACCATAGATTCTAGCAGTATTACAGGTCTCGATAAAATGGGCCACATGTTGTTTTGGACTATCTTTTCCATCGAACTGTTGAAACATAGGCGGTTGATATCCAACAAGCATTGCTAAATTGTCAATTCTAGCAGTGTAAGGTTTGGAGTAGGTAAATCTTGATTTTGAGCCGCCCTCATTTTTGTCTTTAATCATGTCTTCAACAAGTTCCTTCAGTTGTTCTATGGGGATAGTTCCCTTGACGGTCACATATACTTCCTTTACCTTGTCCTTGCCTTTAGATGAGGGAATTTCACGCTCTTGGTGCTCCTTAGAGTTCATATGGCTTCTTTCAGGAACGTGATCTTTTTAGGTGAGCAGTTGAACGATAAGAGCATCTAGATTCTTGATGTGTTTCATCATGGTTTCCATCATCTTGGACATGTTCGAAACTTATTTTTGGAGACTTAAAGTGTTTGTCATCATAGTAGGCATTGCAGCAGAAGAAGCAGCAGAATCTTCAATAGAAAACCTTGATTGAAGAGTTTCATGTGAAGAGGCTGATCCAGTGCTTGATGAATCATCATCATACTTAGAAAATTTGAATCCGGATCCAAATTCGAGCATGGCAAGGGTCTTCTCAATCGAGGCAGGAACGTCTTTGATCCCCACCGTGGAAGAATAACTCATTGGCGATGTTGAACCACAGATGGGAGTTGATGCCGATGGAGCTTCCATGCTATTTTGGGGGAAAGTTCTCATCATA